CTAGAATCTTTACAATTATATACATAAAAAATATAATTCTGCTCTTGATCAGAGAGCAGTAATTGAAATCAGTCTTAAGAATTTTTGAAACACCTACTGATAAACAATGACACTAGTTTGATGAAATGAGCACAGATTTGACATGTTTGATTGATGAACTGAGGCATCATGTTTGATTGAAATAAAAAAAAAAGATGTCCACATTAGTCACTTTGAATATGTTATTAGGAAAAAGGAAAAACTATTTTTGTTAATAAGTATTTCTAGAGACTTGGTATCACTTATTATCATATTTCAAATGCCAATACTCAGCTAGTTATTTTTTTTTAAAGATTTTATTGACTTATTTTTTAAAGAGAAGGGAAGGGAGAGAGAAGGGAAGGGAGAGAGAAAGAAAGGGAGAAAAACATCAACGTGTGGTTGTCCCTCAAGTGCCCTTCCATTGGGAGCCCAGCCCACAACCCAGGCATGTACCCTGACTGGGAATCAAACCAGAGACCCTTTCGTTCACAGGCCAGCACTCAATCCACTGAGCCGCACTAGCCAGGGCCTCAGCTGGTTATTTTTAAAAAATACCTTTGTTGAACTTTAAACTGTCAAGTTTTGGTTCTCATAGTCTTCTACATGACAAAACAACATGCACTTATTTTTATCAGAAACCAGACTACATGGTGGTTAAAGCTAATTTTTGTGTTAATAAATCTCTGAAATATATGCAGTAGACTTCACATTTACATAAAATTAAAGAAAGGATGCTTCAGCAAATGCAAATAAATGCAAAAAGGAATATTTTAATTTTGATCTATGATTAGTATCAATCATCACAATGTGTTAATAATACTAAAGCAAAATTTTACATTTAAAGTATCACCAATTGTTGTAAGCTATTTATAGACTGAGTACACTGATTAATTAATTTAGAAATATATTTATTGATTGTATTTCAATTCTGCCTTAAATCTGAGATCTCTGAAAATATTTTAATATTAGAATCTTATGCACTTTCTTCTGGAATATACAAGCCCAGCAAAAAGATTTATTTTACTTGGTGCATTATTAATTGTATGACTTGACTATTTAACCTCTATTGATTTGCATTTCTTACTTAATGTTCAATTTAGAAACAAGCAAAAATTATTTGACAATAGGAAGAAAGACACAAATGTTAATTCTAGCACACAGGAATATCGCTTTATTATTCACTATTATATGTTCTCCTGTCAGCAACTTTCAAGGTCTTGAAAGAGCAGTCAGTTTTAAAACAAAAGTTTTTAAGTACAAATAGTGAACTTATAGAAGGTAATCCTTGCATCTTCAGGCACAGCAGCATTTAACTCTTTCTTATATTTGGATTTTAGTGAAATCTTTCATCATGTTTATTTCTTATTTTTAAAACCCTGAATAGAATTTTGACCTGGCCACACCAACTGGAGCACTTTTGTTATTATATGTGATTTGAAAATTCATCATGCTATTTTGAATATCCAGAAGATATTTTTCTTAAAGTGTAGGCTATATTGGTAGACCTTTTTATGTGTAGCAAAAGCCATGAGGAAGGTGATGAATAATTAATTACTTTTACTGCATTTCAACACTTTATTGTTTGCATATACCCATAGATTTTTCTAGGCTAGACCTAATTTCAAGTTTGTTTCCCAAGATGCTCACAAGTGACCAAAGTAGCCCAGAAATTCCAATACCTTGACATACTAAAATACACATTACATTTTCAAAATTGGTTCTTTTAAATGGAAATGGAATGTAATTCTTGGACAAATCATATGTCCTGATACAGGGTTTGGAAACTGGTTACATAAAATGTTCCCAGAAAATATAGACATCTGAATCTTCTTTAATTGTCAAAGAGAATCTGCCTTAGGTTCTATAATTTATTTAAGCAGGAACATTTCTCTCAAGCGGGTTATCTTGTGAACTGCAAAGTGATTTTGTTGTCTGTTAGTCCTTCATGTTAATCAATCCTATAAGCTTGAGGTCTCCTTAGGGGTGTGAAGAATCTTGGGTGGAACTTTCACATCCTTGTGGGGATGTAAGTGACTTTTACCATAGTGGCAGGTGTCCTGCTTACATAAAAGGCCATGATATGACTGATAGTTATATTTCCTAGTGGTTATTAGCAGGGGGGGGGACATTTTTCTTTCATGTTGGTATTAGTGGTGTTGTTTGTATCCAAAAGAATACAGGCTATGAGGTCAGAAGATGGAAAAGCCAAATGTTCTAGGTAAATTACTCTAAGTCAGGCAGGGAGGGACAGACACATCATGATTCTAAGGAAAAAGTTATTTGAAAGGCATAACAGAATCACTTTATCTCTGCTGTAGATTAAACTGATTATTACCCATGAGAAGAAGAGCAAGGCTTTTAAGAAATAGGCCATAAAAGAGGAATTTTTTTTTAATAGAAAAAAGACAGGCCTGGGGAATCTAGAAAGTCACAGGATATTGTAACAATACAGAATTCTGAAGAGTGATAGAAATATGAAAAATAAATTTTGAAGGACATAGATAAAAAGTGTCTCACACCTTTAGACAGCTCTCACACTTGCATAGTGTCCTTTGAGTAGCTATGCTGTGACCCAAAATAAGTGACAGACTTTCAGTCTTTGCTTATGCTTCACAGTCGGAATTCCCTTCCAGCATTCTCTGTATCTTGTGCACTTTGGAAATCCTCTCATTTTTCAATGTCACCTCCCTTACTTACCTTATTTGCTCCCTCCTTTCTTCCTTCAGTAATTTGCTACTACAGTTATTTGCATTTTTATTTTGCCCTACATTATGAAATAGTTGTTCATGTCTATTTCGTTCATTAGGCTTTGATGTTCCTTGTCGTATCTAGAATTGTCTAGTTTAACATAAATCAAGGAATGAAGAAATGTGTTTTTGTTTTCTCTTAAATTTAAGTGGAATGGAAATTGATAATACAGGTGCACATAATACCCTCTGCTTGCATAGATAATACTTACTTGTGGTTATTAGTATTTCATTTTACCTGTGTGCATGATTCAAGGCAAGGTCAGGTTTCCTCATCCGTAGATAGCATATAACAAGCTTTGTCTCAATAAAACTTGCCACACTTGCTATATCTTCGGCAGGTGCTTCAAATCGTTTTCCAAGAGCTGCCCCTTTGCTGCAGAGCTTAAAAAAATACAATACTTTAAATATCCTAATAGTCTTGGGATATAATTTATCCTTTAAATAATCAAAACATATATATATGTTCATATATTTTAACCAAACTATAAGTATTAATATTTTGATTATAAATTAAGTAAAATGTTTCTGTTCACTATTATGTGACCATAAAAAACATTTTACTGTAAAATGCTTCTTGTAAAATATTTTAGAAGTATGATATATTTTAAATAAGTGCCATTTGCTAGGAATGTCTGTTTTAAAAATAAAGCACACAATAAGCAAAGATATTAACAGAAAACCAGGTATAAATCATATTAAATACCAGTGCTTTTATGAAAACCCAGCTGAGCAATGATATAGCACACTATCAAGTTTGATTTAATATAATAAGAGGTATCGGAAGTAAACTCCTAGGAGCCATTAAAATGATCAGTGATTAATTTGAGTCTGAATCATATTCTTTAGAATGTTACTGAAAGAAAAGAAGTAAAAATTTATTAGAATTTATTGGCAGAGACCACAATATCTGAAAACATGGCAAGAATGTGGAATTTTTAATAAAAATTCCAGGAAGTCAATGGTTTCTGGGCACTATGGATAAACTGTAGGGAAAAAAATAGTAGTTTTTTGAGAACCCTAAACATTAAGAAGTGTCAATAATATGACAAGGAAGACCAGCACCGTTGTTTCCCCACAGACTTTCCTACTGTTCCTTGGAATCAAGGCTGCTGGGGAAGGGGAAGCCCCACTTTCTGTTTAGCGACCTTATTTAGGGTATCTGTATCTTTGCTGTTTTCTCTCTCCATTTATGTATATACTGGGGGAAATTTTCTCACCAGGGATAGTAATATTTGAAGTTAAGACCCATCCATCTATACCTTAAAATAAAACATTTTGTGTCCTAAATACCATTGGCTTGCTATTTACATTAAGATTATTGGCAATTATTTGTTTAAGTGCAATTTGGTTGAGAATTAGCTATGTTCTGTTTTAAAATGTATTCTTCTTCTTACTTTTATTAAAAAAAACTATAAGCTAAACAGAGAATCTAGAATCTAGATGTTTAACATCCCTACTTTGAATGGGACATTACCTAATTATATTATCTTTTGCTGATATCCTGTCAATTCTGAGAACCCACATTATCTTTGAAACTCTTTTACAATTTGATGGGTGAAAAATGTTACTTCATTCCTGTGGTCAATAAATATTTATTGAGTGTTTACCACTAACTACCAGACAAAAATTACTGACTTTAATTTAATGTGTATTAGATAAAACTTTTCATAAATTTCAGCAATTTTGCTCTGTGTATATTCCTTTCTATTTCTTGTTTTGTCTATTATGTTAATCTTCTTCTTATTAGTAATAAGAGCTCTTTAGATATATGACCTGTTTTCTGTCTTCCTGTAACAACTACATACATGTGATCAAATGTAAGAATACCTCTCAAATTTTAAAAGATTCAACTGTTATTCAGATAAGGACCTTCAGAGTACATATTATAAAACACTTTTTTTCAATTTTTTTGAAAAACAAAACAGCAAACACTATTGAGGGAAGATAAAACATAAAAGACCTCAGTCAATGCTAACTTTGGCTGCTTCATAAAAAACATAAAATTGGATATGAAAGAGACAAACATTTAATGCTGATTCAGTAATTACTCCAAATTACTACCTTACCATTGTCAATGTGGTTGTAAACAGACCTTAAATTATAATTTAAGAAAATATTGTAGTTTGAACATGGATGCTTGAGATAGCATCTCTGCTCTTCTACCAATCTGATCCCACAGGATCCAGAAATACCTAAACAGAGAGTTAAAAAAAAAGGGGTTTTTTTTTGGTGCTTGCTTTGGCAGAACATATATTAAAACTGGAACAATACAGAGATCAGTCTGGCCCCTGTGCAAAAATGACACTCAAATTTGTGATGCGTTCCATATTTTAAAAATTTTTTCTTGGATGGCATAGCTCTTTCTAAACCCAAATCAGTAGGAAACAAATAAGTAGAAATTGTGTAAGTTTTATTTGTTATTATGTCACAGTATTAAATTCTAGACCTTCTTAATTAATTTTATCTCCTAAATAAAATCAAGATTATTTTTTTCATGTCTTAAACACCCAAACCTCCTGAACTCTTCATGTAAAATTTTATAGAAAGAAATGAACAAATAAAAAAAGAAGCCGCACATTGTACATATTCCTTGCCCCTTCCTGTCTGTGTTCTTCTTTAATGTGGTGGAGAAGACAAGTTCCTTTCTCAGGCACACTTACTGCTGGCCGAATGTGGGCCACTTAGGGAGCAGTCAAGGGTTTGCTACCATGAGGACACTGAGACCCTACATAGCAAGAGGAAGCCAACCTTCAGATTTGATTATATTAAAGGCTATGTCTATGAACACCGAACTAAGTGAAGGATAATTGCCTTATTCTGTAATGTCTGCAATATTTTCTACTTCTATGAGATTCAAGGCCAGAAAAGAAATAAAAATAATCAATCTTAACATACTAAAGTGAGGACTTCATGAAACCAAACTGTAAGACAGTGTTGAAAGACAAAGATAATTTTTCAATTCACGTTAAAATGGAAAAGAGGCAGCCTGCTGGGTAGACTTTATATGTATTAGTGGTAATCTTGTTTTATCAATCAAGTATTATAAGACAGAGAAGTTTCTTGATTTTATCAAATATTACTTTATTTGTTTTTGCCAAAGGGTACATCTTTGAAACAAACTTTGCCATAAGGAAAATCTTTATAGAATGTGTTGAACTTAAAGGTAAGTGTAGACAAAATACTGACAAAAGGATTGTAAAAACAGTGCAGATATTTCATTAAATTTTAAAATTTCTCTGCAGACATTTTTAAAGACTAAGTTAATTCTCCAGAAGATGAAGGATTTTAATGTGGTATAAATGTGTTTGATTGTCAAACAATGATTTTAAGTTGTATTTGTCTAAAACTACATACCAAGTCTTTGATGAAATAAGTTGTGGAGATAAAGACATAGAAACTTTTAAACTACATACGTGATACAGTATATCAGTGAGAAGAATTTGAATTAGGAAAGATAATATTAGGTGTTCATTTTTTTATTTCAAAATGAAGCCTAAAATATTTTTGAAGGATTCATGGACAAATGAAAAGCATTATGTTAAAGGGAAAATGCAGTGAAACCTTTATAGGTGTAGTTGTTTTGAGGAGAAACTAGATAGTAAATGGAATTTCAATAGTATATTTAGTAGAATTGCCGATTTGGTAATTTTTCTCTAAAAACAAAAGCTTTCAGATTAATTTATGATTTCTGCCATCATGCTTTCTAATTCACTAGTCTTTTGTTTTTTCTGCTGACTTTGGTATTATATTTTTTCTTTTGCCTCATTCTTTTTTTAGGGTTATTTTTTTTCTGTAGATCTTCAACTAATATCTTTAGTTGAATACTTAACTCATTTCTTTTAGTTTTTCTTATAAGTTAATTGTATGCTTCTGTGTTTTACTGAAGAAAATATTCATAGGTTTTATTTCCATCTCTTTTGCCAAAAACTATTTAAGAAGGTATGGGCTTACTATTTATTCTTTAAAACTTTACTACCTGTTTTTATTAGTTGCTTGTAAGACTAGACATTTTTTGAATATTTACTAGTCAATAATATTTCATCACTTATGGATTATTTGCTGCTTATTAATTTCCATTTCCCAAATGTTAAAGGAATTAACATTTTATAAATATGTATAAAAGGAGAGGCATTAGTAGTGAAATTAGTGGATGAAATAGCACTGAAAGCCCCAGAAATGAGTCTTTGAATAAAATTGGATACTGCTGCATTCTAGCTGCAAAAAGCCTGTGTCTCTGTGTCTCTGGGCATGCAATAGATACAGGTAATAATTTAATTTTTTATTATCTGTTCTTCCTTGGAACTTTTTTTTTGCTTTGTTTTTTGGATTTTCTTTTTTGAAATTTAATCTGGTGTTTGGCAGATCTTTGCAGTTCTCTTACTTTTATGTGGCTTAATGTATATGGTAGGATGAGAATTAGGCACAACAGCTAACCACCATTCTTACCCATAAATGTTTTAATGTGATGTTTAAAATTTCTTTTTAGATACCAGATTCCATGTTCAGATGGAAAAGGTCTCATAAGTAGTAGTTTTCAATTATAATAAATATCTTTTTATATTCTCTTAACGGAATGGAAAGAAGCTCTATACTGTAGAATAACTCCCATTGGTTTTTAGTTTTCTATCATCTTCTTGCATGAAAGAGGAATGAATCAGAGACCTCACTACTTGTAACTTTCTACATGGTGCCACATAGATCGACTAAAGTGTCTCCATGGGAGAGACAGAGTATGTGAAGCTAAGAGATGCAGAGAATTATGTTCACACATCAGTGGACTTAAAAGTACCATCAGGGTTTCAGAAGCAATGCTTTTCAGCCAAGTAGACTATGATGTGACCTCCATTAAATTTATGGGAATTGAAGAAATGAGGTTACTCCCTGGGTGACAAGCTGTTGAATGACAGTAAAAAGTAATTAATCACTCCCACTCCTATTTGTTAAAATGGTTGTGCTTCAGTCCCCCCCCCCACACACACACACAAAGAAGCCTTCAAACAGAGGTGTGGCCACAGTGGGTTCATTCCTGTGTTTCACCTTGATATGACCATCCAGTAATTTTCTTATTTTCTGAAGCATGTAGATGATACACATTAACCTTCAGGTTTTTTTCCAGGATACCCCTAAACTCCAGCTATCTGATGTGCAAAGCAGATTAGATATGTGGCAGGAGTGAAATGAATTAATAGAATAAATCTTTCTTCTTGTCCCTGAATATCAGGTCATAAAGGTAGTGATTTTAAAATAAAGATAATGTTAATCACATGCTTATTTTAAGGTAGTTATTCATATTATAAAGTAACTATGTTATCCCATACAAACTTAGCTCATGTACTATAACAGCTAGCTTTCACTGAGTGTTGATATGTGTTTGGCATTGTGCTAAGCCCTTTAAGTATAGTATCCCATTAGATATCATCCTTTAGATGGTATCTTCTTAAATATCATTACTTCCAATTCAGAGATGTGGAAATTGGTTTAAGAGAGGCTAGTAACTTGTCAGATAATAATTTCTAGAGCTAAGATTCAAAACCGGATCTGGGTCTCATCCCTGCTTAGACTTTATGTTCTTCAGATAGTGTGCTCCTCAGCGGGCCATTAGTGTTCGTCACCGTCAAATCCTAGAAGGATCAATGTGAATCAAAACAGCTATTGCCAACAGCTTTTTGGTTTCTTATTTATGACCACTCTATTCACATTCATATACTGATTGGTCTATAGCTATATATCTACATCTAGATTTATATTTATATCTATATATCTAATAACTTTTTATATCTCACTGGACTATCATTAAGAAAATAATAAGATAGATAGAATAGGCAGGAAGAAAGAGAGATAGGCAACATTTATTGAGCAATGAGGTAAGGAGCTTTTACATACACAAATCATTTAATTTCTGCATTCACCCACTTTATACACAGAGAGTTGACTAATTCAAGAAGCAGAGGAGGCTAGAACATGTAGAAATGGAGAGAATGGCTAAATAGTGACTCTGAATGAGAAAAAGAACATGTGGTGGAGGTGCTAGAGTGGGGAAGGGAGCATAGTTCTTGTCAGAACACAGGTGTGCTTGTCCGGTGACCAGTGATGAAGGCCTCGGCTAGGTGCACTGACCAGCCTGGTGGGTGATGACCATCAGCCAGAACCACCATTTCCTTAGGCTGGGGAGTTTCTGGTCCACTCCCTCCCTCATCTGCTTGGCTGATCAACAGGAAAAGTAAAATGAATGTTTTGAGGGTTTTTGATAATAATTGGGATTTTGTGGGATCTTTTGTCTTAATATATAAACTGCAGATTTATTTTCCAATTAATAGTCATGTTATTTAAATGTTTTTCAGAGCTTAGATTTGTTTAGGTAGGAAAAGCTGGCTGTTTGGGAGGGTATGTTTTCTTTGGAAATGTTTGGGAAAGCAAACCAAGACAAGTCAGATATCAAAAAATTAAATGCTTTTAACAGGACATATTTTTCAAGAACTTAAGAATTAAGGGCAATAAAACACCAATAATCCACAACCCATTGCCCTATGATACATCACTTGATTTTACTCCCATTCACCTGATTTCTCTTTCAGTTATTGTGGGTATTGATAGCAGCATTAATTATTTTAGAGCAAACTCCTATGGAGTAGTACATAAGTCAGCAATTGCTATGAAGCCACAGCAAAACAAACTACTCCCAAACTCTCTGGCACACACCGATGTGCAATTATTTCTTACCCACGTAACTGCAGGTTGTCTAAGTTTCGCAATCTGGGTTACGTTTGGCTAGGCTTGGGTCTAAGGGTCTAAGATGATAATTAACTCTAGTTTAACTAGGACTTATAACAGCAGCTTCTGAAACATTTTTTTTTTTCTCATAGAAAAGGCAGTAGCCTTGTTCACTTCAGATCCACTAACATTCCCATTGTTCAAAGCAAGTCACAAGGCCAAGCCCAAGTCAAGGGCTGAGAGAGTGGCCAGGGCGAGGAGGTAAGTAATAAATACTAGGACTTGATGAGGGTGTGGAGTAAAGAATTGAGACCAATAACTTAATATGGTTCAAGCAGAGAAACAGATCTATTTCTCTAAGAATTTCTTTTCCAAATTCCTCCACCCACAGTGGTGTGAAGGTGGACAGTGTGGGTTACGACCCGAGATAAAAATCTGGATGTCTACTGTTATTGTCCTTTCAGTACCACCGGTTCCCTCAGGATGGAAACAGTTCTGAAACTGTATGTTCTGCAGCATGTTGAGGTGTTATATCAAAAAATTTCTCAGAGCAAATAAGCCTGTGATACGCTTGACTGTAGGGCTACTAAAACTTTGCAACATACTAATGCATATTGTAGAT